GCAATGATTACAATTTCCTCCATATAATCATCATTCAACAGTATTTGCTTCTATTCCGTTTTGTTTTGTCCCCTTTTGGGGAGGGAGGGGAGGATGTACACAAAACACTAAGGAATCTATAATCATTTAAACAACCAAAAGATACATTCTGCAAGCCTGCCTCCTGGCCACCAACATACAGCCTTTCTGTTTCCATATGTATGGAGTCTTCAGCTGCTTCCTCTCTCCATGTCCCCATCTCTGCCTCCATCTCTGGTGTCACTGCTTCTCTGGATAAGGTCCCACATTCCACTCATGCTCTTCTCCCTTGATGGTCCTATGGTCATGGACTGTAAGATTAACTACTCCCACCATTTTGTTACAAAATGTCTACCTTTACAGTTGTTGACAGTTGCAATTAGTCATGATAACAATTATTCACTACTGAATCATAAGAATCTTATCCCCATCTCTTTTCACCAGACCCATCTAGACAAGATGAAAACTATTCGGTGGGGATTCCCAAACTTCCTCCACATACTCTGAAACTAAACTCCTTCTTGAAAACTTGTAAGCCAATCACTTCGTGCCTTTTTAGCCCCCTCATTTTAGGTAGCCAATATTTAAGTTGCCCATCCCTATCAACTCTGTATAAAGAGGGAATAGAATTGATACTTGATGTGAAGACGCCTTCCCTCTTAGTTGGTATTTTGAGCTACTATATCCATAAGTACAGGTCAAGTTCATCAAAGTGTAGCAATTTACACTTGTTTCCTTTATCAAAAATTGTTGTTTTTTTAATCTTCCTCTAGTTGAGTTCTGGTCATCAAGCCATCGAGACTAGGTCTGATGAGTACTGTCTACAAGTTTGGCTGTTCTTATGTGTCTGCACTACTTCTATATATTTTTTAGATTTTTTTTTCTACACATATGAGTACACATAATCATAAAGATATACTACATTGTTTTGTACATCAATTTCTAGAAAATATAAACAACTCCAGCAATTAATAAAAAAACAAGGGACCCATATAAAAATGGTCAAAATATGTGAAGTGGTTAATTGATGAGAGGTAAATGTGAAGTGGCCAATATGTAAAAAAGTATTCAACCTTAAGGTTGTTGTTAAGTGCTTTCGAGTCAATTGCGACTCGTAGTGACCCTCTGTAGGGTTGCTTTGTTGTTGTTTTTTATTTTAGTTTTTACTATGAATTATGTGTTAGTTTACATGGATGAACATTATCTTTACATTCATCCTATTGTATTTTGTTTCATTGCAATGATCACCATCCCCTGAATGCATCATCAAACACCCAAAGGGTACACCCCACGCATCTGCCTCCCTGACCACCAGCACACAGCCCCTCTCCCTCCCTGAGTCCAGAGTCCCCAGCCACTCCTTCTGCCCATGTCATTGCCTCTGCCTCCATCCCTAGTGTCACTGCCTTTCCGGACACGGTCTCACACTTAGCTTTTCTGCCTTGATGGTTCCAGGGATCTCTGCTCCTGGACTCCAAAATCAGCCACTCCCCTGCTTTTGTTACCAAACATTTACATTTACCTTTCCAACCTCTGTAGGGTTTTTGAGACGTGACTGGTGGGTATGAGCCTTCAACCTTATGGTTAGTGGTCTAGTGCTTATTCGATATCACCATTCTAGGACTTCATTCAACCTTACTAGTTACGCTGGAAATCCAAATTAATAGTAAGATATTATTTCACACCAAAAGAATAGATGCTATTGTTGTTGTTAGGTGCCATGAGTCAGTTCCAACTCATAGAGCCCCTGCATACAACAGAATGAAACACTGGTCCTGTTTCAGCCACATAATTGTTGCTATGTCTGAACCCACTGTGACGATCCATCTCATTGAGGGCCTTTCTTGTTTTCACTGACTGTCTACTCTTGTCAAGCATGGTCCCTTTATCCAGGGACTGATCCTGGCTGATGGTGATGGTGGTGGTGGTTCTGTGGCGGAGAGTCTGTTCTGACTCATACAGACCGTATATAGGTTTTCTGAGACTGTAAATCATTTACAGGAACAGAAAGCCTCGCCTTTCACCTAAGGAGCTGCTGGCAAATTCAAACTGCTGTCTTTGCAGTTAGCAGCCCAATTCATAATCTACCATATTACCAGAGCACCTTGATCTCTTCTGATAGATTTTCAATTATTATTAATTGAATATTATATATATGCCACCAAGAAAAAAAATAGAATTGGGGCATTTATGCCAACATTTTATTTCTAAAACATGCAACCAAGAGATGTGCCTTCATTCATATAAAGACACAAAAAACTGTGTCATTCACTATAATTTTTATATATTCTGACATGGCACTGTATGATAAGCACTGGACTGCAAGGTAAGTTTGAACTACAAGGTTGGTGGTTCAAACTCAACAGCTGTTCCTCGGAAACCCTATACAGGGTCATCACTATGAGTCAAAACTGATTTGATGGCACTTTATAAACACAACAAATGTATTCTCTGACATCATTTCATATAAAAACATGAAAATGCATTAAGTTTAATTTAGCTAATAAATGTTAAATTCATGCAAGCAATACATACTTTACTATGAAATGTTGCAGGAAAATTGATTTTAAAACCATTTAGAGAATACATTTATTCTTGTAATTTTCCCAAAGTCAGACACTGCTAAAATCAATTTAAGAAATATATCTCATTATATTTTTATAACATACAAATCATAAAATATTGAACCCTTGTGTCTATCACTTGGACCACTAACATTGGATTTAAAGTCTCAAGGGATCTGAAAGCATCCCCAAACACTATCTAAATGAAACTGAATCTTCATCTGATAACGGATCCATGATTCCAGAAACCTAATGTCTCTAAATGCAACCCCTAGGCTACCCTCGAGAAAACTGACCTCTGGAAAATTATGATAGAGGTTTTATAATGAATAAAAAGGGCCTTTCCTGTACCTTGGGAGGAGATGATGTAAGAGCCAGGCCACAGCTGAGGTCATTGTCACAAGCACTACCATGAAGAGATACCACAGACGCTTGAGTGGAGTAGATACTGTCATTATAAGGAGGGTACTGAGACTCAAATGTAGGTTCATTGCCTAAGTCAGCATCATTGGTGTTCACCTGGGAATAAAAAACAATCATGTCAGCTTGGGTAGTCAGTTCTATTATGTACAAGACCAACAGTCTCCATTTGAGGTTAGAAGATACACGTCTGTAATTACTTTGTTTCTTTATTTTTTATGTGCCTTCCTCATCTTCTTGACCACATCAGAGACTGACTAATGTAATAGAACAGGGCAGTCTGTCCATTGGCAGTAGAGGGTGCTGGCATCCAAGGTTGTTTAATTCTATCAATAAAAGGGCCAAAGAAACACTTAACAAAGGGCCTGGATCAACTTTCAGAATAAACAGTTTCATCGCTGAAGGAAAAGATTTACTTTCTCTCAGCTCACTCAGTTTTTGAAACCTGCATAGACTCCTAGAATTTCATAATGTAATGAACAAGGCCACTGGTTTTCCAATTGAACTAAAACTATTATTCAACAAGGAAGCTTGGCAGTTATCTAAATAAAATACACTAAAACAATATATTTTCTAGAGTTATCTTTAACTAGGATTTAAACCATTCATGCTGCGGTATCTATAACTTGATACGGATCATTTGAAATCCAAAGAATAAATTTGTGATTTCATGGAAAATTAAACTATCAAACTGCTGCTGCTTGTTTTTGCATCAGCTATGACTCATGAAATCTTTCGACACAACAAGACTCTGTCCAGTCCTGTGTCATGTTCACAACTGTTGTATGTTTAAGTACAATATTGTGGCTAACTAGGGCTCTAAAATCTCATTGCTGTTATTAGGTGCCATCAAGTCAGTACCTTATCCACAGCAGAATGAAACACTGCCTGATCCTGGGCCAGCCTCACTATTGTTGCCATGCTTAATTAAGCCCATTGATGCTGCCACTTGGCCAATCCATCTCGTTTGGGAGTCTTCCTCTTTTTCTCTGACCCTCCACCTTACCAAACATGATATCCTTCTCCAGTGACTCCTCCTGACAATATGTCTTAAGTATGAGAGACCAAGTTTGGCCATTCTGGCCTCCAAGGAGCACTCTGGCTGCACTTCTTCCAACACAGATCTGTTGGTTCTTTTGACAGCCTATGGTATTTTCAGTATTCTCCTCCAACACCATAACTCAAAAGCATCAATTCTTCTACCGTCTTCCTTATTCACTGTCCAGCTTTTGGATACATATGAGGTTATTGAAAATACCATGGCTTGGGTCAGGCACACCTTAGTCCTCAAGCTGACATCTTTGCCCTTCAACACTTTAAAAAGCCTTGTGCAGCAGATTTGCGTAATGCAATACGTCGTCTGATTTCTTGACTGTTGATAGCTGATTCAAGAAGAATGAAGTCCTTGACAACTTCAAGCTTTTCTCCATTGATAACAATGTTGTTTAGTGGTTCAATGTTGAGGATTTTTGTTTTCTTTACATTGAGATGTAATCCATACTAAAGCTGTACTCTTTGATCTTCATAAGTAAATGTTTTAAGTCTTCTTCGCTTTCAGATGAGCGGTGGAAAACCTGATTAGCTGTTGTTAAATGCTGTTCTGTTGGTTCTGACTCGTAATGACCCTGTATGAGGAATAGCTGGTATCTCTGACCTGACAACTTTGTGGTTAGCAGTGTAGTACTTATCGCAAGGCACCACACCAGAACTCCAAAATCTGGCTAGATAGATTTATTGCTGGAAAACTCACATAAAGTCAGGTAAAGAATTTCACTACACAGTATCTAAAAATCTTGTGACTTATATTTGTGGCAGAGATAAGCAAAAGAATAAAAAATATTGCTGAACTTGACACTGTTCTTGCAACGTGTTATGTCACACCGTCTCACAGATGGACCGATACGCTTACTACGCTTATCAGTATTTTCTGTCTTTCTTGGTATCAAGCCCTATATCCTCTATTTCTTTGCGATTTCAACTTGTATGTGTCCCCAGGAGCAGTTAGAAGCATTATCACATTACACCAGGTACATGCTTGCCAACAACAGGTACAAATGCAGCTGGACTATTTCAACATGGCTCTCTCTTCAAATGAACGTCACAAGCCTAATAAACTATTTTGAATGCATGTTCTCATGCACTAGTGAGTTCCTATGTGGGAAACTTATTCATTATAAATGTACATCATCTCTTGATGAAGGTCTTGTTCTTTTTCATTGATTCTCTGAGTTTCCAGCCTGATGTCCTTCCCTGGAGAACTGGTCACACTCAACAACATATCCAAAGTATATGAGATGTACTTCCTCAATACCTTCACCACCCTCATTCCTCAGGAGCATTCTGGTTGTACTTCTTCTAAGACAGGTTGTTGGGTTTTCTGGCAATGCACAGTCTTTTCAATATGTTGTTGCTAAGTGTCATCGAGTCAATTCCAACTCGTAGTGACCCTGTATAGGGTTTCCGGAGTAGTGGCTGAAGGGTTTGAATTACTGACCTTTCAGCTCAAACTGACCTTGCAGTCCAGTGCATTATTCTGCAGTGCCACACCAGGACACCATATTCTAAATACCACATTTCAAAGCATTAATTCTTCCTTGTCTCCCTTATTCCTTATCCAGCTTTCGCACAGATACGAGATGAATAAAACACCATGGGCTTGGGTTAAGCACACCTTAGTCCTCAAGGTGACACTTTAAAAAAAAAAAAACTATTTAAAGAGCTCTTTGCAGCAGGTTTGCCCAAAGCAATATGCCATTGATTTCTGGACTGCTGATTCCATGACAACCTATAGTTTTATTATTTACATATCATTTGTTCTTTCTCTAGACAGCAAGGCTTTTAAGGGATGGTGTCCCATACTTATTTTTTCATCAAAGGGGCCTCCAACCCCCAAACCACACCCTTTGCCATCAAGTCAGTGCTGGCTCCCAGGGACGCCCAAAGAGCAGAGTAGAACTGATCGTAACGAGGGTTTCCAAAACTACAAATGTTTACAGAAGCAAACTGTTATATCTTTTTCATGTCGTTGTTAGGTTTGAACTGCAGTCAATTGATTAGCCATCATGCCAGTGCTGATGGTGATGATTGTGGGCCATGGATTTTACTCTGACTCAGAGGACCCTGTACAGGGTTCCCGAGACTATAAGTCTTTGTTGTTGTTGTTAAGTGCCATTGAGTCAATTCCAACCCATAGCAGCTCTGCATACGGTTTCCAAGGAGTTGCTGGTGAGCTTGAATCACCGATCCTGTGGTTCAAATGACTTGCAGTCCAGCGCATTAACCCGCAGCATCACACCAGGACTTTAGAGGAACAGAAAGTTTCATCTTTCTCCCACAAAGCACCTGGTGGACTTGAACTGCTGTCTCTGCAGTTAGCAGCCCTACATGTATCCCACTAATATACCAAGGTTCCCTGTGACAACAAAGCTCCTTAAAGTGGTATCCAAAGTTAAAACCCCTGTCAGTGTTTACAGGGGCAGGCAGCTGCCCATCTCCTTTGGTGGCTGGTAAGGTTGGAACTGCCCACCTGGTGGTTAGCAGTCCAATGTCTAACTCACAGTGCCACCAGGTTTCTTAAGTGGCCTCCAGTGGACCCCAAATACAATTTTTCCCATAAGTAATTTTATACATCAAGCAGAAATACATTTTTAAATTAAAAGTTCTATTGAATCAATGATCTTTGTATTCATAAAAATAAGGATTTTGACCATTCTGGAAGCTTTTATATTGTTAATCAATAATGGAATGAGTTTATATCATTTTCACACTATTATTATCTCATGGAAAAAATATATATATCTGCCCTTTTATTTGAAGAGTAGTTAAAACACTGATTTATGACTACCTATGGAGTCCTGGTGTGGCGCTGTGGGCTAATGTGTCAGACTGCAAAGTCGTTTGAACTGCAAGGTCAGTGGTTCAAGTTCACAAGCTGCTCCTTGGAAATCCTATACAGGGTTGCTATGGGTCGGAATCAACTCAACGGCATACAACAACAACAACAACAACAATGGAAACATTTAAAGAACACACGCACATACATACATACCCAAGTGTGAAATTTTCTGTTCAAACAAATTCTTCTGCAATTTCAAGTACTATGAAATGATGAACACTAAATGTGACAACATGCATTGCTAGTTTAATTTCCTCACAAATCCAACAAATATTTTTTACATATATCATATGCTGTTAATTTCCCTATTTATATCTGTGAGAACTTTGGGAATTAGAAAGAACATCTTTAGTTTTCCCAAACACATGAACAAAAAATAAGGTTTCTTTGGAATATTGACAGGCAAAAACTAGACACACTGGGTTTCTGAAAAAAAGCTTTGTAAGTCATGGCCACTAACCAGAGCCAGGTCAGCCCGGAAGAGGGCTTTGTCAGGCAGACCCTCCTCCTCACAGGAGTGTGGTGCGTAGAGAAAGACATCGTCCTTAGCAGAAACATAGCCTTCTTCTGGTGAAAGCTGCAGAGAGAATGAAGCTCAGCATTGGAGGATGAGTTCATGAAACACAAAGAAGGTAAAAGGCAGGAAGAAAAGAGAGAGGAAGGGAAAAGGGGATGAGAAAGAATAGGAAAAGGACAACAATTGGAAGGTTTTCAAATGGTATGACTTTGAACATAGAATTGTGTGCATAAAATCTGATCCTCACAGTGAACACTTTTATGAGTTAAGAAACATATTTCTTCTACTACCAATATCTATTAGATGAGAATCCCTTTCTATTAATTTTGTACTTCTTTTAAAAGATTATAAAATTCAATGATTTTTTTAAATAAAAAAGGTCTTCTGGTCATATTTATCTGCCAGGATATGCTCTGGACTGCTAACCACAAAGTTGATGATTCAAACCCATCAGCCGGTCCTCAGAAACCCTGTGAGTTGGAAACACCTCGAGGAAGGTTAGCAACAACGATTCTAAGTCAAACAGTAAGTTCCTCACAAGGAACTAAAGCAACTGTAATGTGCTAAGGCACCAAAGTTGCTACAGGAAAACACTATGTTTGGAAGGACCAATGTGATCTCTTACTAGAATACTGAGTTTTTAAAGAATGCAGTTGACTTGACAAGAAATGTTACTATGCTCTACAGTGAAGTCTCTTAATTTAGCATGTTGTTGTTGTTGTTGTTGTTTAAGTGCTATAGAGTTGGTTCTGACTCATAGCAATCCTGTGTAGTGTTTCCAAGGAACGACTGGTGTGTTTGAACCACTAACCTTGCAGTTCAAATCGACCTTGCAGTCCAATGCATTAACCCACAATGCCACAGCAGGACTCCTAATTTAGCTTAGCTTAGTAAAAACTCTACAAGTACAAAGCTGGTTAAATTGGAATCCTGATCACACATAAAAAAGCTAACATTTTTATTTCAAGCTCAAGTAAATTAGATAGCTAATGGTCTTGCCTACATCATTCTACACCCTTATTTCAGCAATACATACAGGAAAAGTATAAAAGGGAAAATGTTTTTCTCTTTTCCCACACATGAGTTTAACTCTTAATAGATCTCACTTTCTGAAACAGACATATTTCTAATATAGAACAATGCATATTGATTTTGAGATATCATACTCCTATGAAATAAATTAATTTTGGAACTAGTTAATTTAAAAAAAAAAAAAAAAAGCCTACTTATAAATAGCTCGGAGTCCTGGTGTGGTGCTGTGGGTTAATGCACCAGACTGCAAAGCTATTTGAACTGCAAGGTCGGCAGTTCAAGTTCACTAGCTGCTCCTCAGAAAACCTATAGACGGTCACTATGGGTGGGAACTGACTCGACAGCACTTAACAACAACGACAACACAAATAGCTAGCATGAATCATCCTCTGTTGTAGTTGTTCACTGCCTCCAACTTGGTTCCAACTCATAGGTACCCTGGACAGCGGTTCTCATAGGGGCTGGTGGGTTTAAATTGCTGACCTTGTGGTTAGCATTCTAGTCCGTATCCTACAGTGCCACACCAGGACTCCAATTTACCCTTAAGGGCAAAAAAGCCACATAGTGGTTTTTATTAAACAAAAATGTTTGGCCTTTTTCTTTACTAGTAGAAAGATCAGTCAAATATGCAATTTAAACTTATTAATTATATAAAGCCCCGTAATGGCCTCTCTTAATTTTTTTTCCATTCCTTTTTGTATTTCCACAAGGTTTCTTTGATTTTAGGTTGATTAACCCTATTCATCCTCCCTGTGTGTGTCTCTCTCACTCTTTCTTCATATTTTTCACAGGCTACCTAAATAATAAATGGGGGAGAAATTAATTGAATTGATACTTGAAGCATACTAATAAATCTTACTATTTTTAAAAATTATTTCACAAAGTCAACATATCCTTATTTGATTTTTATGCAATTATCTCCACACATTTGGGTTTTGTAAGATACAGTGTATTTGTCCTTTCATTTATAAATAAATTTATACCCTCAAAACATAGAGTATGTCGAATATTTGACTGAAATACATTAATAACCGCCATGCTGCAACAATAATAGCAAATAAAAGACACTGCTAATGTGTAGCATGGAGTCCTGATGTGGCACTGTGGTCTAATGCGTCAGACTGCAAAGTCATTTGAACTGCAAGGTCAGTAGTTCAAGCTCACCGGGCTGCTCCTTGGAAACCCTATACAGGGTTGCTATGGGTTGGAACTGACTTGACGGCACTTAAGAACAACAACAACAACAATGTGAAGCATAAATGTGCTAATTGCTGCTAATACTATAGTAATTAATGATCAGGGGATCTTTTCTCCCATGAGAGCCGTCACAAGCTGATGAACCCACCTTAGAAAGTTCAATGTTCTGTTCTACATTAATTATATGAAAAACTTGTTGAAGTTAATAGAATATAGAGACTTAAGCCACTGGGACAGAAATTCTACTTTATTCTACTCTGATTTAAGATTCCACTCTTAAATGCTAATGCTATAAATGTATCTAATAATCAACTATATTGGTATGAAAATTTAAGCCAAATTTCTCTGGCAATATTTGGTTTGGCTTTCATCATTACTTTACTATTTAATAAAACAATGTCAAAACTCAACCACACACACAATTAAGTTTAAAAATTTTTTGAACTTCCTGTTTTCTTTCCCTTATATTTTTAAAAATTCTACTCAAAATATCCTTGGAGCCAACAACTATGTTGAGGGACAGTGCCAAAAGTCATGGTTCAATCATAGCAACACCTGAATCTACGAGTGTACGTGTCAGCCATATTGTTTGCAAATATAAAAAGAAGTCAATCCAATCTCAATTCTTACTGGTAAAGGCTTGGCCACTCCTATTCTCACAGTTCCTGAGGGTGCACCCTTCAATGCTTGGACAGCTTCTTCAAGGCTGCTGTTTTCCAAGTTAATATCATTGACGAACATGAGTCGATCTCCAGGAAGTAGTCTCCCATCCATTTCAGCAACACCACTACGCACTAAGGAGCGGATTACAATCACAGTGCTGGTGGGATCAACTGGGTCCTAACAGAAAGGAGGATGAAAGAGAAGGCAGCTCACTTTTACACTGGAAAAACCTTTTAAAGGTGGTTTCTGATAAACTATCATAGATTGATAATTGCTTCAAGTGTCTTCAAAAAACAAAACATAAATCTTCTACTGAATTAATCTAGGAAAAGGCTATCTCCACTGTAGGGAGTTTAACAAGAGATCACCCTAAATAACCATAGTCTTGTTGTATTGTTGTTAAGTTGGTTCCAACCCATAGCAACCCGGTATAAGGTTTCCAAGGATTGGGTGATGAGTCTGAACTGCCGACCTTGTAATCAAGTGCTTATCCTACCTGCCATATAGGACTCCTGGGTTAACCTCCTAAATTGTACAGATCATTTCGATTTTGTAATTGTAATTTTTAGTAATATGCATACTGTTATAACTAGAGGTCAACTCTATTACTTTTTAAGATCATTTTTGTTACACAGAATGTCACTGTGTGCAACATCAATCAGCTCACCACTAAGTGTGAGTGTACCAAAAGTGAAGCCCATAATTTTGAAATGAACTAACAGAGAAATAGATTTCAGAGTATATGATGACGCAGTGTTTTCAGATGCATAGCAATCTTAATATAAGAACAAGAATCAGGTCCTACGAAGATTCCATTTCCCTGGAATCATTGGAGATAGTTGTCTGGTTCAGTATTAATTAATGAGGAGCAATGGCTACGCTCCGTCAAAGAAATTCTAACATTTCCCAAGTTACTCAGCAATGTGACAAGGTCAGAATGCAGGCCATAAATGACCAAGGAGACTGTCAGAATTTAAATTATATTCAGATACAAAATAATCATTCACTTCGGACAAAAGAAGTAATTGTATTTTACATCTTATCATTAAAATGTGATCAATTGAAAGCATGAGAATAAAATGAATTTAATCATATTCCTCATATGACAAAATAAAATATTTCTCAGCTCTTCTCTAAAATGAGTCCTGTATGTTTTGTTTTGTTTTAGTTTCTAAGACCTGGATTATAAAATGAATTATTTTTTAATGGAAAACCTTGAAGATCATCAAAGGTACCAATAAACCATATATATATTACTACTGTGAAAGATTCGCTACAAACAAGCCAATGTCGTGGATGTTTCAAAATGATCCTAAAGTATTATCTTTTTCTCTGTTATCAACAATATACCTTTAGCATATGTCATCTTTACAAAAGAAACGAGTTGCTGAAAACACAACGTATTTACCTGGTAATCTAAAATGCTAAAACCAAGACCTTTGTTTCCTTTCTCCAGATCTATGTGTTGAACCTCTGTCTCCCACATGGCCAAAGGTCCTTCTACTTCTTCTGTATTCCGACCAACATCGGTTGCTGTCAGCGTAGGATCCTCTGTCTCTGAGGCCCCGATGAACTCGCCCAGATCTACATGAGACTGGATGAAAGACCAGACAGCTCCAATTTCAGAAGCACTAGAGTGGCAGATATATGTACCAATGCTACAAGGGAAAGGGAGGTTTCTACCATCTGTCCAGAGGAAAGTACTCTTGTGTAAAAACAATGACAGCTTATCTTGGCACCTTTAGGAATTAAGGTAGTAATGATTGAAAACTGTTAAAAGAGAAATACCTAAGTGGTAACAGGCTTTAAAAATACATGGCTCAAAGACCTACAAAAGTACACAAAGGTTCTATTTCAACAGCATGATTGTGGAGAACTTTCACTTTTTCCACTGCTGTCTGAATTACCTGGAGAGTCATTTAAAAACAAACAGATTATTTTGAAACTAAATTTAAAAATTCTTACAATTAATATACAGAACAATGCAAGAGAAAATGGATATATGCAGACGTCTGATAATGTATCAAATTCTAGATTGCTGAGACTTGTACACATGAAAATTCACTAATAAATTACCACATGCAATGCAAGGTGTGAGACTGGAGTCAGACTGACCTGGGATGGCAGCAGCGTCTATGACTTCTTATCTGATTACCTGGAGTAATATTCTTAACCTGAGCTCTATTGTTACCCATCTCATTGAATTTTTTTTTATTAAATAAGATCCTATTTATAAAGTATCTGATGTAGAAGCAGACATTAAAAATGTTAGCTTCGTTATAAGGGAGTGACTTTAGGTTAATTCAACTTTTTCCGTCCCTGTTGTTGTTGTTAAGTGCCATGGTATCAGTTCCAATTCATAATGACTCTGTATAGTGTTTCCAAGCTTCACCTTTCTCCTGAGGAGCGGCTGCTGCTTGGGGTTATGTGCCATGGAGCCAGTTCTGACTCATAGAGGCCCTGTCTGTATAAGGTCTCTGAGGCTGCAAATCTTCCTCCTGTGGAATAGCTGGTAGTTTCGAACTGCTGACCTTTAGGTCAACAGCCCAACTGGCAACGACTACACTACCAGAGTTCCTTTCAAAATAACAACGGGGCATGGTGACTCTATGAACATATTCAATTTAAGATTGTATTTTTGGTGATAAAATTCTACTTTGTGAACTATCTGCACTTTTAATAAACTATAGGCTAGGAACATAGATGAAAATCTGTCCATCTGTTATATTGTAACAATCCTACTATTACTTCATGAAAATGTGTATGGCTATATATGGTGGCGGAGCCCTGGTATGGAACTATGGGATAAAGCACTACACTGAAAGGTCGGTTTAAACAAGGTCAGCAGTTCAAACTCACCAGCTGCTTCTTGAAAACCCTATACAGGGTCTCAATGAGTCAGAACCGACTAAAAGCCAAGTTAACGACAACATATATGGTGCTGGCTTTAGAGTTACTAATAATTTGGAATAATACTTCTTCTTTTATTTTATTCTAATCAGTCCTGGGAATATTAAATATTGCAGTTTTACTCTTCATAGCTTTGAAAATAATCCTATTGTGCTGATCTTTTCATACAAAGATGAATGAAATCCTGTTGTCTTCTCTTTTGTTATACCTTAAATGAAAACGACTAAACAAAAAATCATGCAAAGTTCAAATTTGAACTTTAGGGATCTATCATATTCCATCAATGCCTGGTGCCTTGTTTTCTGGCAGTGTCTTCAGTGCAGCTTGGACTTCTTCCTTCAATACCATCAGTTCTTGATCATACGTTGCTGTTGTTGTTGTTAAGTGCCGTAAAGTCAGTTCTGTCTCATAGCGACGTTATATAGGGTTTCTGAGGATTGGCTGGTGAGTTTGAACTGCTGACAATGCTGTTCAAACTGACTTTGTGATGCAGTGCTCATCCTACAGCGCCAACAGTTGAGTGTTGACCAATTTTTTTCCTGGTGATTCTTTGTATTCCTTCCATCTTCGTGAGTCATTCAGTGCCTTGTCCACAGAATCGTTCAATACTGTGACGCAAGCTTGAATTGTTTCTTCAATTCTTTAGCTTGAAAAATGTCAAAGGTGTTCTTCCCTTTTATAACTCTAGGTTTCTGCGCATGTCATTGTGAACTTTACTTGGTTTTCTGAAGCTACCCTTTCAAATCTTCTGGTCAGCAATTTCCCTTTATCATTTCTTCCTTTCACTTTAGCTACTCTGGTAGCGTAGTGGTTATGAATCGGGCTGCGAACGTTAAGGTCAGCGGTTCGAAACTACCAGCCGCTCCGCGGGAGAAAGATGAGGCTTTCTACTCCCGTAAGGATTTACACC